CTATTGTTGCCCAATGCAGACCTTTAAACTTTTCAGTCAGAAATGTCTGCTGCTATTCATTAACTGTTTATGTGCTGCTTTGCTGACAGTGGTGCAGCTAGTAATTTTAGACGTTGGACTTAAATGCCTTATGCCCACTCACTTCACTTTAAAGCACAGACTCTTCTTTCCCCCTGGGGAAATAAACCATTCTTTATTTGAAGGATGTTGCAGCCTCTTTTAGTGGAGTGGGACTTGCAGTGCTGCTTTTCTGTTTAATGGTGTTCTTTGTCTATATTTTAATTATTGTCTTTTTAAGGCTTTTGTCGTTGTCTGTGGTTTAAATGTAAGTCACTCTGAGTTACCTTGTAAGAAAAGTGATTAACCAATACAAGAAATCATCATTGTCATCATAAATGGCCATATGTATTATTTCAGCTGTGATGCACACCATTGAAATTTATCTCCCTCCCCCTGTGAGCATGATTTCCTGCTCTACAAGTGCTTCTACTTTCCTAATATGTTAGGGGAGGGGAGAATTTGTCAACTGTGATAAAAAGTACTTTGAGTATGGGCAAACTCCCCTGCCAGTGGTGAGTGGGGTCAGACAGGGCAATGGATGTGATTTTTACCTTTGTTCAGTAGGCTGCATTCCACCTGTGTAAGAACTGGAGGTTTCTGCATGCTCCAGCGTAAACTTACCTCTCCATCCTCCATCCAGGCAAGCAAAAGTCATTATCAAAATTCAAGAACACATTGTAAGGAGGCAGAGCACTTGAGGAAGAGGCAGAAGAGGGCTGGTAAGGGGCATGGCTATGGAGGTGACCCAGAGATTCCTGAAGGCCAACAGAGAGGATTGGATGGCTGCATTTGGATCTTACTCTGAGGTTTCCCACACTGATCTAGCCTTGCTCCTTTAATGTCTGTGTACAGCTTGAACATTTCCATGGAGTGGGCCTATGTGTGGATACTTGTGTGTATGAAGGCTTCCATGAGATCTTCCTGAGTGATTGAGGGTTCCAGATTTCATGCATGAAGACCCCTTTCTCTACATGTACAGACATCCGGAGAGGGTCTAAGTGGAGGGTGTGATATCAAGAGAGGGACTACTCACCATGGCTCCATTCCTTTCTCCCACTCCTTTCTCCCAGGAGCTAATAAATTCTGAATAAAGGTATTGTGGACAACATTTTATTTATTTTATCTATTTTTTTTAAATGAACAATTCACATATTATGCCATTACAACTGGGTTGCTTTTTTTAAAAAAGGGAAAAGAGCACTATAGTTGGGCTATCTACATTTTCATCTCTTATTTTATCCACTTAAAAATACCTAGAAACATCAGTGGGGCTGAACTGGCTTTTATTCCAGTATACTGGCTTAGCTGATTTGCTGATAATGTTTCTAAGTGGTTACAGAAGTAGAATAAAGTTCATCTTGCTGCATAGCTGGGGGCTACAAACCAATGGCTGTCATGTAGTTAAATATGCCACATTCTCTTTCATGCCTGGTTCATATTTCATTATCTCATCAGTATAGAGTCACATTATCAGTTGGAAGCATTGCCCACATGATTCAAGATACGGTCCTTATGCCAGGGGAACCATGCATTATGTAAGACACATAATAGCCTTTTTTTCAGACTTTCTTTGAACATAAGCAAAAGGTAGAGGAGGGCAGGATTGCATGTGGCATCTCCTACTCTCAACCTCCACACATTTATTTGAAGGTTAGAATACAGATTGTAACTTTCTCCGTGTGATCAGAAAATAGCAGATTTCCTGATTGCACAGACATAGCCCTGCACCCATATTGTAATACCACTAGGCTCTGTTCCAATTTTCAGACGAACATATGGTGGTCAGGTGCTTGTAATTTTATTCCCCCATCCCTTTTCAGCTCAAACATTATTTGAAGACAGTTAAATCATGCAACATATCCATGCAACATAGGTCTGGAGGTACAGTATTCAGCATGACCTCACCTTGCTGTTGGTTGCTGTGACTCAGGGCTCCAGTGCAGCTGACAGAATGTCCTCCTAGGTGATCGAGCTCAGGAGGTCAGATGGCTTAGTTCCAAAGGGGAACCTGTGGTGTACAGATATGGTTCAGTAAGGCAGGAAATACAGTTCTTTATGAGCAACTGCTTCAACAATGACTTGGACCAGACTGAAGCCTTTTATGCAACGTGATCAGCTTCCCCTTCTCATGCTCCATCCATTTCTTGAAAAGCAGAAAGTCTTGAAAGGGCAGGCCTTGGGAATGGAGCCCAGCATTCCATCATCTCTACAGGAGCGAATGACAGCACACTTCCTGTGGTGATGCAGTGACTCTATGGACTATATAGGGCTTGGAGTCAAGTATACCAGACTCTTGATAGACTTGGGCTCCTTGGAGGCTACTCTATCTTATCCAGGCTCAGGAATCTCTGGTTCAGGGGTCTCCAACATTTTAATTGTGGAGGTCTCTAACATCTTGGGTTCAGCTATCTCCAGCATTAGTGGTGCTCATGCCTTTTCCATTGGCACCACTGGTCCCTAAGGCTCTGTGTTTGTGTACAGGTCACTGATGAAAGGTATGGTGTGGTGGGACAGCACTGTTCAACTGCTGCTGCTTACTGGGAGCTGGAGGAGCAGCTGCAAGGTTGGAATGGTGCAAATGGCAGGAACACCTCCAGTACATTTGCACCATACTGTCCTGACTGCAGCCTCTTCCCTCCTCACCTTAGTAAGTGACATGACTGACAAAGAATATTATTATTACTACTAATAATAATGGCAATCATATTCCTTGGATGACCTTGAATTCTGGTTCTTTGAAGCAGGAATTCTTCATTCATTCTGCCATCCCAGATCATTCATAATATTACAAACTAATTAGTCTTCTTTCTAAATAAAAAAGTCCTCAATATTTTAGCCTTATTATGACACCCTAGCTTCCTGATCATTGTTTTTCTTCTGTTTACATCTTTTCTATTGTCATGACATTCTTTTTTGCGATAGAAAAATTAAAACTGCACACAGTATTCCAGTGGCGAGACCACCATAGATTTATATAAAATATAGACTTCATGATGCTGTAAATTTTATTTTTAATCCCTTTCCTAGTAATTCTGAACATCATATTTGCCTTGTGCATTACTGTTGCACATGGAGAGGATGATTTGAGAGAGCTGGCCACCATGATCCAAATAGATCTTTCCTGATTAGTCACAGCCCTTTAAGAACCTCATTTGCTCTTTGGTTATCCATCTACTCAGTTTGAAGAGGTTTTTTTTCTGGAGCTCATCATAGTATTTCACCATTTTGAATCAACATGGTGCTCTCCTATATGTACATTTCCTGCCAACAAGTCCTTTCCATGTAGGAAAGACATAACATTTGAAGTAGCCCTAATAAACACTCCAATACCCTTGAAGATGAAGGGCCGTAGATTGATTTGCAAAGGGAAAATACTTTGAAATGAATCCAATGTGACGTTATTGAAAAACTTTAATGGGAAAAGATTAACTTTTGAAAGTCTGCAGTGGTTTACAAAGCTTCAAATGCCCAGAAATCTACTAAGCCAGCCCATTTAAAGAATCTAAATACGCTTGCACATTTTTAAGCTTCCCGACTTTGAGTATTAGCTTTGAAGTTGTGCCAAAAATGGAGCTGCCTTGAAAATGAATTCATGACACTGGAATTAGTGTTGGGTGTGTGGCATGCCTAATGATAATCTTGACCACGCTTGCCGTTGACAGCCAGCGCATATGGCGCTTCTGAGTCAATAATTCTTCAAAGATAAGATGCGCAGCATCTTGGCTCTTTTTATCTTTGCACACTGATGATTTGGACACTGTGCAGTGTCCAAAGACAGCTTGTTTAAGGACAGATGGCATTTTTCCACAGCATAGAAAGATTGCCTGCAGATTTCCTGAGTCACACTGTCCATCCAGGAAATATACAGCAGGAGCCTAAGTGAAATATGCTGAATGAAAGATTCTTTTGTTGAGATGCCAAAGGATTTCACAGGTTTTCAAGAACCAAAGAACAACCTATGCTATGTGTGAGGCCAGGCCAGAAAATGAGCAAATCATTGAAACGTTGCCACTTAATGCTGTCACCTTCGTTGAGGCTTAAGTGGTCTACCATTCTGCCTCAACCAATTGTGTATTAGGACAACAGACAAGGGGCTCTTCTACATGAAACACACAGCACAGTTGGCTGAGTATCACCCATTTCTCCCCCGCCCCCACCACCCTGGTAGTCTACAGAGAACAAGGACTTCTGTGCTAAAGGATTAACTTCCCCAGTTCCTCTTAAACTTAATTTGAAAATACTGTACTCAGTTTCTACAGAGGCTTATTCATCCCAAATGGATGACTTCATTTTATCCTGCTATGTTATGAGTCAGCCTGATATAGCGCTTCACAACCATATACACACCAAGCTGCATTCACACTGCAGTTTGTCCCATTTTGCTGACATTTCCCTAACTGTTAGTTCTTGCAATATATTTGAGCTTTCTCACAACGTAAAAGCCACTCGTGGAAAAACTAATGGAATGGAATATAGCACACGTTTAGTGCCCATTTCTGTGTTATTTGATTGTAGGAGGGAAATCTTTTGCAGTCCCCTTAACCCAGGAAATCACAAGAATTTTGAGCGACAATTTCCCTCCCCCCTTTCTTACGGGTTCATGCTGCAGCCACTCATGTGATGAGCCATGAGGCAAGACACCTTCACATGCTAGATTCCCTGCCCATTTCAAGGCTCACACTGCTTCCTCCTTTTTGCCTGACAAGAAAGAATACTGGTACTTCAGCACAGAAAGTCATGTCAAAAATGTAAAGCCTACAATAATAATAAATATATCCCGCCCTCCCCAGCCAAAGCCGGGCTCAGGGCGGCTAACAACAATAAAATAATACAACATTCTAAAATCATTTCATTATAAAATTAATTCAAATCAAATTGATGGCAACCATTGGGCTAGAGTGTCGGGGAACCAGCCCACCAGGTGCGGAGGAAAATGACGAGGAGTCATGGGTGAAGGTTTAAGCAAGGAGTGAGCTCTCTCTCCCAGCAGCCTTGCATGTTTATTAGCCTTGCGCACATTACATCATGTTGCATATACACGTGTAGCACTCGGGTGGAAAACAGCTAGGGTTTGCATTTCTTAGAATAACTATTCTCTACCAGGACATAACTCCAGACAGCATGACAGCCGCGTAAGCTTTGCGGTTAGGCAGCTGACAGTGACCCAGGCGTGTGGGGGGAACAAGTCAGCAGAGTCAGCAGATGTTTCCTCTTGCACAATCTTGCACAAGGGTGCTATTTTTCTATTGCATCCCCACATGCCCTCCTTTTTATATTATTTAATCAGAGTCATAAATTTCATTCCGAGGCAGAAGCTCGCCAGGGTCGCACACAGCGCGCTGGTAACCAGGTAGGCCGTCCATCCAGGTCCACTGCCGCGTAGCCGCGTCCCCAGGAGATGAGTGGCACAGGACCATGCCATGTTGGATCAGGTAGCTGTCTGTAAGATACAAGAGGCCGAGCCAAAGGCTCTGCTTTTCGAAAATGAATCTCAGCCGGTGTATATTCCCTATTATGGGGATACAAAAGATGGTTAAGAGTGAATAAAACAGTATGCACGATTGAAGGAATCTCGGCGGAGGGGGCATTTCGACCTCCAAGTTGTTTGGACAGCAGTGTCTTGAAGGTCAAGTGCGCCCTCTCCACAATCGCCTGTCCTGTTGAATTAAAAGGCAAACCATGGATTAATTTCACATTCCATAAATCACAAAAGGATGAAAACTGAGAGGAAATATAGGCTGGGCCATTATCCGTTTTAATGCTTTGTGGCTTACCCATCACAGCAAAACAGCGCAGGGTGTGCTGAATGACGTGACGAGCGGTCTCACCCTTCAATGGGGTGGCCCAGATAAATCCAGATGAGGTGTCCACTGTCAAGTGAACTTTTGAAAATGGGGCGAGCAGAGGGGTGTGAGTGACATCCATCTGCCAAACCGCAAGAGGGGACGTACCCCTAGGGTTCACCGCATCAAAGGGAATCATGGTTGGAGCCTTAGAACAGGTAGGACATTGAGAGACAATGTCTCGTGCCTGTGCAATAGGGATTTTAAACATTTTTGCCAAAACTTTAGCAGGCTGGTGAAAGGTAGAATGAGAGAGAATAGGGTCAGAAAACAAAGAAAACACTTCAGATCGCAGTGCAGCGTCTGCCACGGCATTTCCCTGAGCCAAAAACCCTGGGTGATTGGTGTGGGAACGAAGGTGTGCAACATAAAAAGGATGACGGCGTTCTTGAATAAGATACTGCAAGGTAGAAAAAAGAACAAACAAATCAGCATCTAACGCAGGCGTGATATAAGAAACAGGCAGGGAAGACAGAAGGCGATACACATATTGTGTATCAACAAGCAAATTAAAAGGTTTATCAGGAAAGAGTTGAAAGGCAAGGATTACAGCAGCAAGTTCAGCCCGCTGGGCGGACCTCTGTTGCTCAGTAAATTCAGTTTTCCATTTTCCACCCTCCTCCCATGCCACCACCCCCGCGTTTTTGACCCATCAGTGAAAAGGGTAAGGGCAGAGGGGATGGGGGTCGGAGAGAGAGCAGTTTTTAAAGTATAGACAGTTTGAGAAAGAAAAGCCAAGCGTGGATCAGAGGGGGGATTATGCGTGATGGTTCCCAAAAAATCCACAAGTGCTACTTGAGTAGCCACGGAGGTGGAAATCAGGTGTTGTGTTTCTGTGAGGGAAAAGGCAAGTAAATTTTACAACGTCCAGTCCAGAGAGGGCTTTTGCTCGAGCGCGCCCTTTAATTACCAAATCCATTACAGCCGCTGGAGAGGAATAAATGTTACGCGGTGGAGTATGCGGAAGGTGGATCCATTCCACAATGTTGACACCCGAGGGGGCAGCCGATTTCTGTGAGTAGAGAATGGCTGTAGGCAGCAAAGGTGTGGAAAAAATTGCCAAGGATAACTGCACATTGTGCAGAGTGTCTATGCGATCCACCATTCGGTCTCTTAATAAAGCATTAACCTGTTGTAAGGCTTGTAGCATTTCTTCTGTAACTGGGATGACTTCTCCGGGTAGTTTGTGTCCTTGTAAGGCAGAAAACAATGGTGACAAGGTGCTAGTAGGCAGATTAAGGTAATTCTTAATCCAATTCAGGTGTCCCAAAAGTTGTTGAAGGTCAACCAGCCGTAGGCGGGCAGGAAAAGACAATTGGGGAACAACCGGAATAGCAGCTTGTTGTGTCAATTTATGTCCAAGATATAACATAGGCAAAGTTTGCTGAACCTTATCTGGGGCAATACACAGTCCAAAATCTGTCAGGGCAGATGTAAGGTCTCTTAATAATTCCACTGATATGTGCTTCGCAGCCACAAGGATATCAATTGGGTGGAGGCTTTGACAGGCTGGCGCTTCTCCCCCGACACCCAAAACCTGCGCAGCTGCCTTTGTGGGCCATTCGGGAGGCCAGTCTTGTTTAGCAATCACAGTAACGTCTGCCCCTGTATCCAGAACCCCCTCTACCTCACGTCCACCCAGTGTCATTTTTAATGTAGGGCGCTGAGCTGTGAGAGGCATTGCAGCAGCAATTAAGGGGGGATTTGTAGGAGTTGTGGCATCCGCAGGGAGCAGTATGACTTTAGCCACTGGCGTGCCAGATGAAAGACCTAAGAGGGGGGGCTGCTTGTTTAATTGCAGTCCCCAGTGGCGTCGGCGGAGGCTGATAATCTGGTGGTCGTGGCGGAGTAAAAGGTGGTGGTTGAAGCGGTGCAGCCGGATATATGAAAGGCATATTCAGGACTGTTTCTTGTTGTGGTTGCAACGAAGCCAAGAGGATGTTTTTGGGCGTAAGAGTTGCCATGCAGCCACGGACTTTAGCCCAGGCACTGAGGACGTGAACATTTATGCGGCCATGGCCATGAAAGTGGTCGCCAATTTTGTCCCAGTCTGGTATTTCCCATGTCCCGTCCTCAGGGAACCATGGACAATGTTCATCTATGGCCAGAATCAATGCAATTAGATCACCTTCAGGTACTTGCTGTTTATTTTCCCGAAGGAGGTGCTGCATGTCTTTTAAAAATTGTTTCTGAGGGTTGGAGAGCGCAGAACCCATGATAAAAATAGAAAAATAGCTACTCACCGGGGATCCGAAGATGAGAAGGCGCCTTGAGCCACAGCCGGGCGGGTGAGTAGCAGGGAGGACCGTCTTTGACAGCACGCGTCCTGGAAGCCGTTCAGGCAATCACACGAGGCACCATTTGTCGGGGAACCAGCCCACCAGGTGCGGAGGAAAATGACGAAGAGTCATGGGTGAAGGTTTAAGCAAGGAGTGAGCTCTCTCTCCCAGCAGCCTTGCATGTTTATTAGCCTTGCGCACATTACATCATGTTGCATATACACGTGTAGCACTCGGGTGGAAAACAGCTAGGGTTTGCATTTCTTAGAATAACTATTCTCTACCAGGACATAACTCCAGACAGCATGACAGCCGCGTAAGCTTTGCGGTTAGGCAGCGCGACAGTGACCCAGGCGTGTGGGGGGAACAAGTCAGCAGAGTCAGCAGATGTTTCCTCTTGCACAATCTTGCACAAGGGTGTATTTTTCTATTGCATCCCCACACTAGAGTTCTGTGAAGATTGCCAAAGGAGGGAGTCAGGCTGTGCCCTGGCCAAAGGCCTGGTAGAACAGCTCTGTCTTGCAGGCCCTGCGGAAAGATGTCAAGTCAAAGATGTCAAGTCCCGCAGGGCCCTAGTCTCTTGTGGCAGAGCGTTCCACCAGATCAGAGCCACAGCCGAAAAAGCCCTGGCTCTGGTTGAGGCCAGCCTAACCTCTCTGTGGCCTGGGACCTCCAAGATGTTTTTGTTTGAAGATCGTAAGTTCCTTTGTGGGACATACCAGGAGAGGTGGTCCCGTAGGTACGAGGGTCCTAGGCCGTATAGGGCTTTAAAGGTTAGAGCCAGCACCTTAAACCTGATCCTGTACTCCAGTGCTGCTGGTAAAGCACCAGGTGAATGTGATCTCGCAGCGAAGACCCCGTAAGGAGTCTCACTGCGGCATTCTGCATCCGCTGGAGTTTCTGGGTCAGTCTCAAGGGCAGCCTCATGTAGAGCAAGTTACAATAATCCACTCTGGAGGTGACCGTCATGTGGATCACAGTGGCTAGGTCAGGGCGAGAGAGGTAAGGAGCCAACTGCTTAGCTTGGCAGAGATGAAAAAATGCCGCCTTTGTTATAGCTGCAATCTGCGCCTCCATGGAAAGGGAGGTGTCGAAGATTACACCTGAACGGACGGTGCTGGCACTAATTGCACCCCCGCAAGAGATGGGAGTTGCCCCTCCAATAATGGCAGAATGTAGAGCAAGAGGGATGGCATAGAGGAATGATATGTGTGAATGACATTCATCACAACATGGAGGAATAGCAGTCAGGATGTGACAGAACAGGAAAGAAGCGCTAGCCCTGAAATCACTTAAACTAATACAATTAATCCATGAATACAGCACAAGTTTCTAAGATAATAAATTATTTTGCAGCCTCCCAATTTCACATATGGTTTTGATATTCATGGGTAGCACAGCAAAATAGCTAAGTGCATGGCTGCGCCAACAGATCTACTTGTGAGTAGTTTGTAAACCCCATGCCCTGTTCTGGCTACTCCACTTCATCTTGTATAGTGCCTAAATTTTTACTTTCTAAAACAGGTACTTGTTTTACCATCTTGTCCTTTAACACCATGGATGTTATTTGTCCCTTCAGTGCTCTCCCTTTCTCCTCTATCAATGATTTCTTTCTTTCATTCTTTCTTACCTGCTTGTTCATCTATCTACACATTTTCCCTAGAGACCTATCTCTCCTTTGGTGTTGCACAGCCAGTAGCTATTCCCCCCACTAAGACAGAAGATGGTTAATCACATTCCTACATGCACAGGCACATACATACACTGAAAATAAAATCAAAAAGGAGCCCAATCCATTAATGGCTACAATTCACCAGCGTAGCTTCAAGTCACACATACACCATGTCTTGAAAGCATTCATCATGCCCATTTAATAGTAGTTAATTACTGAAACTGTGAGGGACGTGGGTGGCGCTGTGGTCTAAACCACAGAGCCTAGGGCTTGCCGGCAGTTCGAATCCCCACAACAGCATGAACTCCAGTTGCTTGGTCTCTGCTCCTGCCAACCTAGCAGTTCAAAAGCACATCAAAGTGCAAGTAGATAAATAGGTACTGCTCTGGTGGGAAGGTAAATGGCGTTTCCGTGCGCTGCTCTGGTTCGCCAGAAGCGGCTTAGTCATGCTGGCCACATGACCCAGAAAAACTGTCTGCGGACAACTGTCGGCTCCCTCAGCCAGTAAAGCGAGATGAGCGCCGCAACCCCAGAGTCATCCGCAACTGGACCTGATGGTCAGGGGTCCCTTTACCTTTATTGGAACTGTAATTTGTTAAGGGTGCTGGTAACTGTAGTTCTGTTAGGGGTCTCTGCACAACTCTCAGTGCTCTTCACCAACTACAGTTATCAGGATTCTTTGCAGGGGAAGCCATGGGTATTAGAGTGCTTTCAATGTACTGGGTGGATGTGATGTCAAAAGTCAGGATCTCCTATTGTTTGTTGTTTTAAGAGAAAGCTGTTTGCACCTTCCTTGTTCTAGTATAGTTTATAATGGGCATCTCATGCTTGATGGAGATGCATATCAAATGCCAGTACCATGATTCAGCCAGGGTGAGCCACCCATGGACACATTGATGGAAACATGATTTGGGCTGCAATCTTAAACACGTTCACTGAATAAGTCCCATTGGGTACAGTGGGGCATGCTTCTGAGTTGACAAACACAGGTGTTCACTGTGAATTCCTTGTAATGCTACACATGCAGATCATGGTTGCATGGGGGGAAATACCCTCATGCAGCTCCTACAACAAGGCAGGTGGGCATCCATAGATTGTTCCACTTACACTATGATGTGTGACATATATGCCATAAATATTCAATCCTAATTCTACCTGAAATGGGGGGGGGGACCAATCAAATATTTTGAAACCATGATTTTAATTCTCAATATCAGTTTCATTAATGGTTTTCCAAAAGAAAAAAAAGTATTTTATGGGAAATGAAATTGAACTGGGAAAATAGGTGTGAGGGGGTTCTAGTGTTTTAAACTCCTCCCCAGCTATTTATTCATTTGCTAGTTGCATATCCCACCTTTTTATCCAAGGAACACATGGTTCTCCCCATCCTCATTTAATCCTCATAACATCCCTTTGAGGTAAGTTAGGCTGAGAGGCAGTGCCTGGCCCAAGGTCACCCTGTTGGCGTTGTGGGGATTTGAACCCTAGTCTCCCAGATCCAGGTCTGACACTTTAACCCCTAAATCTCATTTGCAATATTTTCTCCAATAACTTGAGCAAATCAGATACCAAGCCCTAACCCTTTGCATCCCCAGAGAAACAAGCTTCTCAAAGTGTCTTTTCTACTCGATCTCAAGTACTAGGAAATGTCTCCTAGTACCATTAGTTAAAACTTTTGTGGTGTGAACAGGCAAGCGATTTCTATCAAAGGCAACAGAAAAGTAGTTATTCAGCTTTCAAGTCTGGGAATCCCTTCCCTTGAGATGCCACCATCCTGCTTGGAGAGTTTTCATCTTCCCCTCTCCTGAAAGTATGTTGAAAACCTATATATCATAGTCTGCAAAGAGTGACACACTTTTAAATTTTCTTTTAATGTGTTTGTTTAATTGATTTCTTTTGAGGCAAATGGAAATTTGTCACTCAGCAACAGCTGCCACAGCTCTCCCCCTTCTTTTTCTGGAGTCTGCTAAGCATCAGCGTTCCAAATGAGCCTGAATCTCCAGAGGAAGGAGAACGGAATCAGAACACGCATTGTGTCTCTTTAGTCAGAATTCTTTTCCCAGCCACCTCCATGCCTCCCCTCTCTGCTAATGTATGCCTGCCTCTGAGGCGAAAACAGATCTACGGCTCCTGTCCTTGTTCTGAATGAGAATACATTATTTGCCAGCTCTGTTTCATTAAAATTATTCCACTCAGCTGTGAAAACAGACTTGCAATGGATTGAATGAGTCGCCTCTCTACCCCAGATGCTGAGGAGGTGGGCTCTTTAAATGTCATGGAATAAATAAATAAACAATCTGCATTTGGCAGAGGGAATATATATATGCAGGGAAATATATTGAGAAAACTGAAGGCTATATATATATATAGCCTCCAGTTTTCTCAATATATTTCCCTGCATCCTATTTTAAATCAGATTAATTAATTATATCTGATTACCTGTAATACAACAGTTGCATTGACAAATGAGTTATCTGTGCCTTTGAATAATTTGGATGCTTTTTCTCTCCAAACATATATCTGTTCACAGATGGCACTTTAGAGTCATTGCAGACTTCCACGAAGAGGAGAAAGCAATCTTATCCAATCAGCTCTTCCAACTGCAGCCACCCACACAACCTCAAACAATGTGTTAGCACAGGAGTCTTTAGGCTTTCCAGACCTGGGACCCACCTTTAACCCGAAAATGCATTTCTTAATCTTTTGCCATATATTTGTACGGTGATGGTGCTGCTGTTGTGATCTTGCCTTAGATCAGGCCATGAGCTGATAGCGTTTGCCCACCAGTATTCCAAGAGGGCAGTGGTTGTGGTCTGGTTTCCTTTGGGGCATGGAAGAAACATTTACCCTTGCAACCAGCTGTTGAAATCATCCTTGGCCAGCCACAAAGGCTTGTGGGATTGCCTGCTGAAAACACACACTTAAATTGGCTTTTAAATCATGGCCTTTGAAAGGGCAGGGCAAGAGCAATGGACCGGAGTTAAGAATTCTTCACTCTGGACCACCTCCAAAAAATTTAAGCCCATCAGTTGAAGACCAATGTTTCAGAGGGTATCCCAACCATTCAAAGCAGATTTAGGGACTACTGGGAGATTTAAGGTAAAGTGGAGGTTGGCAAGATGATGGCTATTCTCTGCCTTGGAGTCAGAGGCAGTATATGTTTGAACACCAGCTGCCTGAAAAATCCAGGGAAGGAGAGAGTGCTATTTTGGGTTGGCCACAGGTATCCGGTTGGCCACTGTGAGAACAGGATGCTGGACAAGATGAGCCCTGATCCAGCAGGGCTCTTTCTATGTTCTTATAAACAATGTCTCACACATTTCATTTGCAGACACCTCCACCGGATTGAAGGAGCCTTCTATAAATGAAGCAACGCCATCAGAAACAATCTATTATTTTTATTTTATATATTTAAAACTTTTTCACAAGGAGCATCCATCATAATTCCCAATTGGCAATTGATGGGAAGAGAGACCAACTGAAGCACAGTCTGGCTCTCTTGTACCTCATGTCTGCCCAGGAACATCTAATCACCTGGAAATGAAGACCTGGGGGGCTTGTCTCAGCGTAAAAAAGGTTGGCATTGGTCTTTTTCCACTTTCCCTGATAAATTGCACATCTAACATTACCAAATAAACACTACCATGTATTTTACATGTTTATAAATGCTCTCCTCCTTCTTTCATTTAAGTTTTCTATAAGACAGGTTCAGACTTATGGATACTGCTGACGAATTTCAGCAGAGTTTTGAATTCTGTGAGTGATTCTTTCTGTGACCTTTCTAAATTAAATGTGTTTTCTGGACTGAAGGGCATTTGTACAATGCAGAGGAAGGCTAAGTTTAAAGGAGTGAGACTCTACATTATGCTGTAAAGGAGGTGAGGCTATTTTACAGTCACCCCCAATGCCTTTGGGGAATGAGTTCTGGACTTATATGCCAGCTGCTGTCTTCAGCAAATGCAAGACGAACACCTGTGGCTGACATTTCCATTAGTACAATGGCATACAGCTGTTCCAAAGAGTCAGCCACACATTGAGATAGACAGACTCTTGCAAAGCTCAGGCCAGAACTAGGGGCACCTTTGAAGACAAGGACCAAAAACTTGAATTTGACCTACTATTGTGTGGTCAGTCAGCCAAGACAGATGAGTGCTAAGATGATGGGATGGTGCTTTAAAAGTGCCCCTCAGCTTTGAAGCAGGCAGGCAGGCAGGCAAGAGCATTACCCTTATACTTCAGTTTTATAAGGCAAGCTGATTTCTACGGAAACTGGAAAGAAAAGTTGTGTATAGGGCTAGTCCAAAGAGCCCTTGAGCTCAATCCACCATAGCCTGACTTCACGTGAAGGGAAGTCCCTAACTCAACCAAGGGTTTGAGACCCATAAGCTACCCTCACCTAGTTTAGCCAGTCAAACACATAAGGACTATGAATGGCAAGTGAATCACGGCGAGCATCACAGAAGCCCATCACACGAGCTCCAGCCGGCGGCCTCGGTAAATGAAAAGAACTGTAAGATACTCGACCTGAGTTCCTGCCCGCCTGGGGAATCCTACCTAAAACTACTTTGCCACAACCGACCAGGGTTGCAACACAGCAGACACCCCAAGACGCTTCCTCTCTGGCCTCATCGCACTGAAATGTATCCATGATTTCCGATCGCTAACCAAAGGCAGGGAAACGCCTGGACCTGATCCCGGCAGAAGCTATAAAATACCACGCGACTGGTGGGCTAAAGTTCTGGCGACCATCTTCGATGCCGTTAACAACTCTGGAAAGATCCCGGAAGTATGGAAGGACGCTGTTATCGTTCCAATCCACAAAAAGGGCTCACCAGATGACCCGGGGAATTACAGAAATATCAGTCTGCTCTCAATAGTGGGGAAACTGTATGCCCGCTTCTTGCTGAACAGACTTAACCAATGTGCCGAAGAGAAAAAAATTAATTGGGCCCGAACAAGCTGGATTCCGCCCAAAACAGTCAACAATTAATCATATTCTAATTTTACAGCATCTTGCCTGGAAATATTCCACCCCAAAGGGTGGCCAACTCTGTGTGGCATTCATTGACCTAAAGGCAGCATTCGATAGTATCCCCAGGAGCATCCTCTGGGAAAAACTCTCCCGCTGGGGCATCGATAGAAGGCTTCTCTGGCTAATAATCAAACTCCATGAGAACTCAGCGGCTAGAGTGAGACTCACCCCGGAGGGTGATCTCACCAATCCAATTCCCATTAACAGAGGTGTCCGACAGGGTTGTATATTGGCTCCATTCCTGTTCAACTTATTCATAAGCGATATGAGGACTCCCCTAATAGAGGCTCAAGAAAGGATTCATGCACCCCGCCTAGCACTTTATCGCTGCCCTTTGTTACTGTATGCGGATGACGCAGTCATCCTTTCCTTTTCTAGAGTAGGTCTCAGGAGGGCCTTAAAAATTTTTGGATCGTACTGTAACGCAAATTCCCTTACAATTAATTATGGAAAATCTAAGATCCTAATTTTCTCAAAGAGCCGGAAACTCCATAATTGGAGAATTGATGGGAGAGTCATCGAACAAGTCTATAGATTCCAATACTTGGGAGTTTGGTTACAACATAACCTTAGATGGAAGGCCCATGTAGCCTATGTTACAAATAGAGCCAAAGCTATCTCCTTGGCGATCTTGCGATTCTTCTTCACCGATGGGGCTCTTCATATCCCATCGGCGTTGAAAGTCTTCAAGGCCAAGGTGATCCCGACAATTGCCTATGCCATCTCAATTTGGGGGACTTTTGTCAATCTATCTCACCTAGAGGTTATTCAAAATCAGTTGTTAAGAGGGATATTGAAACTGCCCAACTGTGTAAGTAATACAGCGTTACGCATGGAACTTAATACTGTATCCCTGGAAAACGCTCTGTGGAAGCACATACTTTGTCACTGGTTATCTCTATGGCACAATCTCCCAAACTTGTACTTGATACAATGTATGTGGAGAGATGATTCCAGAGCCCATGGGTAAAAATTTCCAGCTGAAAATAATGACAATGGGAATCTCCCCATCCAAATTACTAGAGCAGGACATAGTTCCAGCTAAAAGAACAGTAACCTGTAAACTAGAGGAGATGGACTTGCAGCAGAAAATGGTCTTGGGCAATGGTACCTGCTCACCTCTAAACCTTGGTTTATCACCCCTCTTAAGGCTCCCAAACTATTTGAATTCCTTAACTTCTTCGGCTCATAGATATGCCTTTGTAAAGGCAAGATTCAACACCTTCCCATCGAACATGCTGAGAAATAGATTCTCCAATGGACAGATATCGCTCTTATGTGATTGTAATTGTGGGGCACCGGAATCGTTGCATCACATAATTTTTGACTGTGCTTTTCACTCATCGGCCAGGAGCAAGTTTCTTGCCCAATATCTAAAGGGAATTGCCGATGATACGAATGAAGCCAAACTGAGATATCTATTAAATGATGATGACCCCCTAAGATCACTCACGGTTGCCAGATTCTTGATCAGTGTCCTATCCCGTGTGGCTCGGAAAATCCCTTTAAACCATGATCTATGTTTCAGGATGTAACTAGGTGAATCACCATTGATGTCTTTTATTGATTTGTGAGCAGATGGTGATGGTTATGTTACAAATTTATTGCAACATATGATGTTGGTCTTTTGTTTTTGTTCTGCTTTGGTTCTTGTCTGTTTTTTGTAAGTTTTGACGGTTTTAAATTTGGAGGTTCATGTACATTATGTTGGTATGGGAAACTGTCGTGTGACGGGCCAATGGCCGTAATAAAGATCAATCAATCAATCTAGTTTAGCCAGTCAGTTGAAGCAGTTTCCCGGGATGTGGCCTGGGTAGGAGCCATAGGTGAGAGCTGAGTGCAGAGCCGGGACCAAATGTGGACAAACTACGCCAGAAAAAGCATGATATGTCTCCCACCAGAGGTACTACCCTTCCCCTGACACCCCTAAGCAGTGTATAGGATACACAATACAAAATGACTGAACTTGAGTTAGAATTATTAAACCAGATTTCAGTGAAAAAGCCTGCTGGAATAATAATAATAATGTGCCAGAAATTCAACTTGGGGAAGGGGAGGGAGGAGAGATGTCCGACCTCAATTGCACAGGAGTTTCACAAAATTCAGCCCACAATAATGAATGTATGGCTCCTTGAGGGTATGAGGCCTACACCAGAGCAAGGGGGACCACTTACAGTGGCTCCCCTGAAGACGTCATTTATTGGAGAGGAATAGGGGCCCAGAACATCTCTGACATGGACCCCTTTCGACTCCCAGGCTTTCTTCAGAGGCACCATAGGATTATACCCAACTCTATATTTTTGGTGTAGCCACTTCTGACCTGGTCCTGATAGTACTCTAGAATACATTCTTCTGAAGTGTATATAAATTACACTGCAATTCAGGACAATGGCTGTGTTGCCCTTTGAATAATATATTACCACCTTTTGTGTAGCAGGTGGTTGAACTCAGCTTTTTACTTAAGGTATAGATAACCTTAACTTTGTCTAATGTGTTGAAATGGTATTCAGCTGTAGTAAGAGGAGAGAGAGAGAGAGACCAAGCAGCAAAGGGCATTTTTAGCAGTGAACTTTATGATACATGCTCATATTTTAAGATGAATCAGTGAGCCTAAAATGGGATTTGAAGGGAAATATTTCATTCTGCTCTCTTTGCCATCATTTAATATGTTTCCAACACCCTTTGGGTCTATGAGCATTGACCTTTGCACTGTATTTAAAATGTACTGGCAGTGCTGGTGGCTGAAGGAAAGGAAAGGTGCCTTTATTTCACATTTAAAATGGCAAGCTAATGCTGATAATATAGGAAATGATCCAGAAAGGGGGGGGGGGGGAATCAGCACTTTCTACTCCCAATGAGAGCATTATGCACACCCTGGAGAGATTCTTTGTCTTGTGCATTGTGGTTTATATTAGTGTTGGAATGAACCTTTTGCCTTTATGGGTTTTTTTCTGTGTCCAGGGCAGCTGTTTATCAGCTCCATCTGGTATGCAGGCTGAGACCCTACCTGCCTGCAGACTGTCTTGCCAGAGTGGTGCATGCTCTGGTTATCTCCCGCTTGGACTACTCCAATGCGCTCTATGTGGGGCTACCTTTGAAGCTGACCCGAAAACTACAACTAATCCAGAATGTGGCAGCTAGACTGGTGATTGGGAGTGGCCGCCGAGACCACATGACACCAGTCTTGAAAGACCTACATTGGCTCCCAGTATGTTTCCAAGCACAATTCAAAGTGTTGGTGCTGACCTTTAAAGCCCTAAACGGCCTCAGTCCAGTATACCTGAAGGAACATCTCCACCCCTATCATTCTGCCTGGACACTGAGGTCCAGCGCCGAGGGCCTTCTGGCTGTTTCCTCACTGCGAGAAGCCAAGTTACAGGGAACCAGGCAGAGGGCCTTCTAGGTAGTAGCACCCACCCTGTGGAATGCCCTCCCATCAGATGTCAAAGAGAAAAACAACTACTAGACTTTTAGAAGACATCTGAAGGCAGCCCTATTTAGGGAAGCTTTTAATGTTTAATAGACTATTGTATTTTAATATTCTGTTGGAAGCTGCCCAGAGTGACTGGGGAAACCCAGCCCGATGGGCGGGGTATAAATAATAAATTATTATTATCATTATTATTATTTTGTC